ATGACTTTCATCAAAGGCGACCCACAACTTTTTGTGTGACACCAGACACAATACCGGTAGCAAGATCACTCGGACTGCTGGATTCATAAACACCCACAATTCTTGCAGCTTCAGCAGGCAGTATCCCTTCCTCTGTAACCTTTAAAGAGATATTTTCCTGCCAGGTCCTGGTCTCTTCAATTTCAGCTGAAGAGAAGCTGAAATTGAAGAGACCAGGACCTACAGGAAAAAAAGATCTCTTCACGTTTGGAGTGTGCTGTGATTCACCTGCACTTTAGATATATGAACTATGGACACGTTATCCTGCACTTAAACCACTGTTATTTGTCCATTGAGGGTCATTGGTCCTAGCGTATTCCCCTGTGGATTTGGGTCATCTCTATATATATTTATATATATTCTTTTTATATCAATGTTGCTTTAAAACGCTGCATCAACTTTTATATTTTGAAGGGATAATTGTTGCTAGGGGGGTCTATGGTAGATGGTATTCTATTTTTGCTGGGGACATCTACTGTTTCCAGAGGGGCTATTGTTGCTGGCTGCAGGGGATCTATTTTACTGCTTTTCTTCTCCACTTGCCCTCCAGAGGATTTACCCCCCTTCCTGACCAGGCCATTTTTTGCGATACAGCACTTCGTTACTTTAACGAACAATTGCGCAGTCATGCAACGATGTTCATAAACTAAATTTATGACATTCTATTCCCTATTTCATCACCTGTGCAGTTTTTTTTTTTTTTTGTGCTATACAATTTTGAAAAAAAAGTCTATATTTTTTACTTTTTGCTATAAAACATATTCAATAAAAAAATAAAAAAATAAAATTTTGTCATAAATTTAGGCCAAAAAAAATCCCAATATGTGTAAATGAATTGGTTTGTGTGAAAGTTGTAGCATCTGCAAATGACGGTATATATGCTGGAATTTTTATTTTTACTCATACTAGTAATGGCAGTGATCTGCATCTTATGGCGGGACTGCGGGACAACGGCAGGCATTCTGACACTATGGGGAACTGACTAACTGCCACTGATTTCCCCAGTGACACTAATACAGCGATCAATACTAATAAAAAACACTGACACTGTACTAATGACACTGGGCAGGAAGGGGTTAACTTTTGGGCGATCAAAGGGTTAACTGTATGCTGTGTTTGTTTTACTGTGTGCTGTAATACTAGGGAGGCATGCTGTTTTGTATCTCTTTGCTGTGTAGAAAGACACAATACAGCATGTCCATGCTGTCAGGGGAGAGACCTGTGTTGTTTACACAAAGGTCTCTCCCCTATCAGCTTTACACGGCAATAGTTGAGTTCCGGCCAGGAATCGCTGGTCAGGACCTGGTGATTGACATTCCTAGCTGCTAATAGCAGCGCGGGTAGGGTGGCGTGCATGCCCCCTACCTAGAAATGCAAATATACGTGATTTTGTGCAGCCCTGCCGCTCTGTAGCGGTACTTCTACTATATGGCGGTGGGCAAGCAGTTAACCAACTCCAAATTACTTAGCAGAACAATATACTTTGTTCTGTATTCTCTAAAAGGGGCAGTACTGGGAGATGGGTAAGGGGTGGAACCAAGGGATGGTGCTCGGGAGTGGGTATAGGGTGGAGACAGGGGTGACACAGAAAGGGGGGAGTTCCTGCACCTATTCTCTGAGAAAAAAACCCCTGGGTATTAGTGTAAGTTTTATTCCCTTTGTTGTTTTTGCTTGGCTCACTTTGTAATGATGGGCTTACATGTTGTGGTGTCATGGATGATTGATTCCCCCATGTTCATGGTTTGCTACAGCTGGCTTGTCCCTTTTCATTAAAAGAGCAAGACAGCTTCCTGTTCCAGATCATACAGTGTCCAGTGCATGTAATGTCAATCATTATGTGTCACATCACAAAGCTGGGGGTGCTAATGTAATAAAAAACATTTCTAGCTGGGTTGTAAACATTGTGTGTGTTTGTGATTTATCTGCCTGCTTGCTGTCATCAGATCTAATTACTGCCTAAGGGACTAAGGGTTTGTGGAATACAGTGTTTCTTCACAGGAAGTGACAGTTCTTGACTACAGACAGAGATCATGCATTAACCTGTGCAGTGCTATGCCGCATGCCTGCACAAACAGACATTTCTGACACCAGAATGTGAATGTTTACTATACTATAGGCTTTGCATACAGAGCTAATTACAAATACAAATTAGCAGTTCTTTAAATTCGCCACTTGTAGCATTTTTTCATTTTCTTTCCTAGATTGATTTCAATCCATTTGGAATTGTTTCTACAGTCATTTTAAATTCTCTTTCCCAGACTCATAGGTGTTCACAATTCTCATTCTAAGGATCCTAGAAAGCTCCACTGATCTTGGCATGATGGTGTGGCAGCTCCCAGATATTGCAGAGTTTCCCTTTAAACTTTAATATTTCTAGCAGCTTCTACTTGCAAAAGCAAGGTCACCAGCTCACTTCCCCCCTCCCTTAGTAATGTGTTCCAGCCTGTAGCTGGTATCTTTATCTGTAGCTGGTATTCAAGGCTATATTTTGCACAGTTTAGAAAGCCTTTTGAATGTACAGAAAGTGAAAGAGGAAAAATGTGCACTGTGATGTAATTGTTAATATGTATACCCTGTGAGTTGTTTTTCAAGCCACTTAGCTTTACAGACACTGTCTGGCTAAGTTCCAGCTGGTAAATAAAAGGTTTGTTTTCCTCAGGTTCGTGTTTGGAGTTTACCTGGTATTCCCAAAGTTGCCGCTACAATGGCAACACACATGTCAACACAGGTTCCACCTGCATTGTTCCTAAGGGGGTCAGCACCTGATTCTAACTTAATGGATTTACCCCCCCGGTCGCACAATATTGTCTGCTATTAAAGCGGTTATATCTGACTTGATCGGAGCTGCACCGATTTCTAAATTAGTACATGCACTACTTTTGGTGCAATTTGCATAGACATTGTGTCAGATGTCTTGCAAATTGCACCTCAAAATCGGCAAGTCACCCAACTTTGAAATCGTGCTACTTCACTGTAAGTCGCACAATTTCAAAATCAGGTTTGATGTGACCGGGGTGTTAAAGCGGCAGTACTTATTACTTTTTAAATATGATAAATCTGCAATTTAGTCATTTAGATTATGGAAACAAATAGACCATGTCAATTATATTACCACTATCTCTAGGCACTATTTGAATTAACCACTTGTCAATCGGGCACTTTTACCCCCTTCCTGCCCAGGCCAATTTGCAGCTTTCAAAGCTTTTGAACTTTGATGATTGCGTGGTCATGTAACACTGTGCCCAAACTAAATTTGTATCTTTTTTTTAGACAAATAGAGCTTTCTTTTGGTGGTATTTAATCAGCGCTGGGGTTTTTATTTTTTGCTAAAAAAATAAAAAAAAGACCAAAACATTTTGGAAAAAAAAGTTTTTTTAGTTTCTGTTTTTATTTCTCCTTCACTGATATGCACTGATGAGGGCACTGATAGGCTGCACTGATAAACACTGATGAGGCTGCACCAATATGTGGCACTGATAAGACGGCACTGATGGGCATTGATAGGCAGCACTGATGGGCACTGACAGGCAGCACTGATGGGCACTGATAGTCAGCACTGATCACAGATAGTCAGTGTAGATGTCACCTCTGAGAAATACCGGCTCTCCTCTCCTTACACGCTGTCAACGTGAGGATAGGACTGACGAAAACCAGCATTTCCTATTTACACTGTGATCAGCTGTGAGTGGACACAGCTGGTCACATGGTGAAAGACAGCTCCGATTGGCCCTTTACCTGGACATGTGACCAGCTGTGTATGAAGGATACAGCGATCACAGTTTGCACACAGTGCCTGCCCCAGGGAATGCACGGGGGGTATGGTTCTGGATGCCCTCCCAGAACCAACTGACAGTGCTGTAGCCATTTTTCTAAATTGCAGTAGGGAAAGAACATGTAAACCCTCACTTTGTAAAACAACCCTTTCAGGAGGGTGAGCTTGTTAGCAGAAGTCTGATCATTAGAGGAGAGCACACTGAGTTCCCAGCATAGCTAGAGAACTGACCATGGTGTGTTCTCCTGCATAGTGTGGTCAATTTTTAATATCAAGGCAGAATGACTGGTTGGAACACCAGGAATTTCACACAAAGGAAGCAATACAGAAATAACAGTATATTTTTTCCAGTACATGGCACAGCAGGCACATATCAGGAATAAATAATGTTGGGTTTATATATTCTTTAAGATCTAATGCTCATGTATGTAGAACAAGTCAACAGCTCTCATGGGATATATTTTCACATGACTATGTAATAAGGACTCATAAGAGACTGTCATTGTTTCTATTTTTTTTATTTCTTTATGCTTGGATTCCACATACTGATCTTTGTTGTTTCTATTCACGTATTTCTATACTCATGTGCAACTGTTTGAAACAGTTGAATAAACAGTTACAAAAAAATGAAAAATAGCAGCACATCACAACAATTTAAGCATTGATTAGTAAGTAGAATATTTTGTTTTAGATCTTAAAATTATCTTCCCATAAAAGCATCGGGTCCCAATTCCTGGATCAAGTACTTATATCTGAAAAAGGCAAAAGACAAAAGAGATTAATGATTAATGTGCAGTATACATCATTTTCCTTTAAACAATATGTACCATATTAGGTCAGTGGCCACTAAATGTCAGACCGTGGTCCGAGAATCGCCCGAGCAGCGCTACCGCCTGATGCCGACTGCCAGCCCACCAGACTAGAATGACAGATCCACTACTCAGCAGGGTGGTCATCCTGGCAAACAATTACATCACACATGCACCTTGCTCCTTGCAGCTCACTGTCTCTCCCAGCTCCCACTCCCTGCCTGTCCACAAGAGCACACCCCGTTCCCTTCAGCAAGGATCCCGGCAAGCTCCTGTCTGCCCTCAAGGTAGGGTGTGTTTTTTCTGATGATGTATGATGTATGATGTAAAGGGGCATTCTGATGGGGAAATATGATGGAAAGGGGTACTTTGAGTGTATGGGGGCACTATGACGGCAATACCTGATGTAAGGTGGCAATGTGATGGGAATACCTGATGTAAAGGGGCACTCTGATGGGGAAAACTGATGTAAAAGAGAACTCTGATGGGCACACCTAATGTAAGGGGGGGCACACTGATGGGCACACCATATGTAAGGTGTCATCATGTTAGGGGAACCTTATATAATGAGGCACTCTAATAGGGACAACTGAAGTAAGGGGGCACACTGATGGGAGACAACAAATGTAAGTGGGCCTTCTGATGCAGAAACCTGATGTAAGGGGGCATTCTGATTGGAATGACTGATCTAAGGGGGCATTCTGATGGAAATGGCTGATGTATGGGGAAATCTGATGGGAACAAATTACTTAAGGGGGAGCTCTGATGGGAATGCCTGAAATAGGGGGGTACTCTGACAGTGGCAACTGATTTAGGGGGGAAGTCTGATGGTGGCACCCAATGTAATAAATTACTCTGGAGAGGGAACCTGATGTAAGGGGGAGCACTAATGGGGTCATTTATTTTCAGACCTCGGCCAGAAGAAGATTTTAGTGACTGGACCTCCTTTTAATTTTAATTCAATACCCCTGTATTGGGTCTTATCTACAACAGCAGTTAAGCTTCCATTCACATTAGTGCATTTTCTCTTGCCTTTGCTGTCATGCTGCACAGCACTGCAGTGCTTTCTTGCAAAGGTCCATGTGCTTCTTTTGGTGCAACACATTTGTGAATGCACCAAAAACACATGTAAAATGCATGTACATGCTTTTTAGTGTGTTTTTTACATAATTTTGTGTATAAAATCCAGTCTCCTTCTCCTACAAAAAAAACACATGAAACATGAAAAATGTGCAGATTCGCACTACAAAAATGCACTGAAAAATGTATCATCATGCAGCAACACTAGTGTGAACCTAGGCATAAGAAGAATTTAATGAAGAACAGGCTTAGTTTAATAAAAACACACTGCAGAGCTCAGTGAGGAGAGCTCTGAGATCGGATTGGAGGGAAGGGACACCCCCCTACATACAGCACATATAAACAGTGCTGAGGCTGTCAATCTGCTGGAGGCAGGGCCTGGACATGGAGTGGGCAGAAGGGGCAGTTTCTCTGGGCGCTGTGGTATCATGTGAAGTGGGGTGCACTGCATAGAGAGTGCCTACCTACAAGCCACCAGGAGTACTGGAAGAGGGAATTTTTGTTTGGGGAGAATTTTGGCTTGCAAAGGGATATTTATGCTTGGGTGTGCAGATTAGTACTCAATATTTTTGGGAGGAAATTTTTTGCTGACACATAATGTTCATACATTTTTTTGGGGGGGGCGTTTGGCATATTTGCACTGGCTGGAGGTCCCTCCCATGTCACCCTTATTCTCTTGATGTCAAGAAAACTTGTCAGAAGTGATTCATAGAGATAGTAGAGGAACAGGGCAGCAGACTGAAATTACAATTAGTGCTCTGGATTGAGACACGTACACACTATAGAGGTATATGCTTTATTCATATTTCATGTGTGAAGGTTACAATCACTTTAAGCTAAAATCAAGAACACAGGAACATGACCTCAAACTAGCAGGAGGAAAACTGAAAATTCATCTTAGAAAGTAGTGTTTTACCAATATAGTTGATGCTTGGAATAGACTTCCAGCAGAGGTAGTGCGTCAGTCAACAATAAGTGGATTGAAACATGCTTGGGACAAGCATAGATCTATGCTAGGGCAAAAAAAGTGTATATATATATAAAATTAAAGGAACGCTTTTAAATCAGAGTATAGCATCAAGCCAATTAAACTCCTGGGATATTGATCTGGTCAGTTAAGTATCAGTGGGGGTTGTTAATCAGTTTCAGCTGCTTTGGTGTTAATGAAATTAACAACAGGTGCACTAGATGGGCAACAATGAGATGACCCCAAAACAGGCATGGTTTTACAGGTGGAGGTCACTGACATATTTTTTCCTACTCATCTTTTCAGACTGTTTTTCACTAGTTGAGCATTTGGCTAGGGTCAGTGTCACTACTGGTAGCATGAGGCAATACATGGACCCTACATAGGTGGCACAGGCAGTCCAGCTCCTCAATAGGCGCCATTGCCCGAAGGTTTGCTGTGTCTCCTGCATAGTCTCAAGAGCATGGAGAAGATTCCACGAGACAAGCTGTTACTCTAGGAGAGCTGGACAGGGCCGTAAAAAGTCCATCAACAGGACAAGTATCTGCTCCTTTGTGCAAGGAAGAGAATTGCCACAGCCCTACAAAATTACCTCCAGCAGGCCACTGGTGTGAATGTCTAGGACCAAACAATCAGAAACTGACTTCATGAGGGTGGCCTGAGGGCCTGATGTCCTCTAGTGGTGAGCCCTGTGCTCACTACCTCGCACCATAGAGGTCGATTGGCATTTGCCATGTACACAGAATTGGCAGGTCCCTGGCACCCTGTACTTTTCACAGATGAGAGAAGGTTCACCCTGAGCATATGTGACACACGTGAAAGGGCCTGTAGAAGCCATGGAGAATGTTATGCTGCCTGTAACATCATTCAGCATGACCGTTTTGGTGGTGGGACAGTGATGGTCTGGGGAGGAATATCCATGGAGGGACGCACAGACCTTTACAGGCTAGACAATGGCACCCTGACTGCCATTAGGTATTGGGATGAAATCCTTGGACCCATTGTCAGACCATACACTGGTGCAGTGGGTCCTGGGTTCCTCCAGGTGCATGATAATGTGGCGAAAGTATGCAGACAATTTCCTGAAGGGTTTGCTGTGTCTCTCAGCACAGCCTCAAGAGCATGGAGGAGATTCCAGGAGACAAGCAGTTACTCTAGGAGAGCTGGACAGGGCCGTAAAAGGTCGTTAACCCATCAGCAGGACCAGTATCTGCTCCTTTGTGCAAGGACAATGACAATGGCACCCTGAATGCCATTAGGTATTGGGATGAAATCCTTGGACCCATTGTCAGACCCTAAGCTGGTGCAGTGGGACCTGGGTTTCTCCTGGTGCACGACGTTGCCTGGCCTCATGTGGAGAGAATATGCAAGCAGTTCCGGGAGGATGAAGGAATTGATACCATTGAATGGCCCCCACACTCGCCTGACCTAAATCCAATAGAACACCTCTGGGATATCATGTTTCTGTCCATCCAATGCCACCAGGTTGTACCTCAGACTGTCCAGGAGCTCAGTGATGCCCTGGTCCAGATCTGGGAGGAAATACCCCAGGACACCATTCTTTGCTTCATTAGGAGCATGCCTTGAAGTTGTCAGTCATACATACAAGCACGTGGGGGGCCATACAAACTACTGAGTACCATTTTGAGTTGCTGCAATGAAATTTCAGCAAAATGGACTAGCCTGCTGCATAATTTTTTCACTTTGATTTTTGGGTGTCTTTGAATTAAGTCCTCTGTAGGTTGATAATTTTAATTTCTATCAAACGATGGGGCATCCTTATGTTCCTAACACATTACCCAGTCCATATCAGTATAGATATCCAGCATGATATTTTTCCCTATTGAGATCTGATGTGTTTTCAAAGTGTGCCTTTAATTTTTTTGAGCAGTGTATATATGGGGCAGACTTGATAGACCTGCTGGTCTTTTTTGCCATCACTCCTTTATGTTTCTATGACCTATTCCACTCCACTGTTGTCCACAGTTATCTTATCTGCTCCAGAGCTTCTTCCTGGTGTTTTTCGACTCATAGTTCATGGTGCTTAGAGCAGGCTGAACTCAGGTCGCTGGTGAATGCTGTCTGAGTCTTAGAGTCCATGTCCTGCGAATCCTATATCACTTGCTCTAGTGTACTCCAAGGCGATCCTATTCCAGGTAACAGGTCTTACCTTTTCTAGTGTGATCCAGTGTGGCTTCTCCTCCACAGATCCAGCTCCCAGGTCTAACTTTTTCAGTAGTGCTTTCCACTACTGAAAGCTGGCTGTTGGTCTACACTCCTAAGTTATGGCAACATCGTTTCATTTGCAATCCCATCCACTGTAGCTGGAGGACACTGGGGCAGTTGCCATCCTGACATTTGGAATCTTTGGGTCTTCCACTTCCAGAGATGTTCACAGTTCATCTTCCCACTTGAACTTGTATGGTCGTAGTGTGGAGGGTCTCAAATTTAAAAGACCGATACCATACCTTTTACGTGCATGCTGTTCAGATATTTGGATTAAGAAGAAGTGAATGCAATGGAAAGTGAAGAGGTAATATTAATCATTCAAATTATACTGTATTTCACCTGTAAGTAGTGGAAGAGCTCAAGAGAAGGGAGTTTGAATTCTTTCTGATGGATAGATAAGCTTTTAACTGCAAGTCCATTTCATAAATGAGATGTAGTGCATCATACACAAAGTCTTAATTTATATTGTATGCTTGTCAGTTCTATGCTGTGGATGTCGTGATCATTTCTAGTCATAAGAGCTTGGAGTTCTATGGTCAATGTGAAAAAAGAGGGGGAAGCAGCAAATATCTCTGTCTTGTGCCACAAGATATTGGGAATGAGGTGGATATGAATATGGAATATTGCAGGCAGAGGGAAATATATATAGTAAGGAACAACTCAAGAATACTGAGGCCACTAGGCAAGACTGGGAGAGAAGGCAAGTTTCCGGTGGTTAGCCATCTGTCCACTGTGTGTTTCCAGTGGTGGCCCAACACTTAAATCCGCATTATAGTGATTGATATTGCTTTAGAGGTCTCAGGGAAGGTGAGGACCATATGAGGTAACAATCCAATGGGCAAACAGGACGGCAGCAATTCGATCAAAAATGAAAAACTAACCCTGGGCATTTTTTATATGCAGGAGTTAAAAAGTGCAGAAAAGTCAGCTAGTGATGACATTAATGGAAAACATTGACTGAAGAGGATGAAACAAGGTGGCAAGCAGAGAATTGTGTCATTAGGTAGTCAGCCTACTGAAGGTGGTGAGAGATGAGGATGGATGTTGGTACGCGGTTGCTTGATGCAGCTTCCTTTTGGCTGAGCGGTAGCGTTCTATAGGAGGTTAGGAGCTCCCACAGAAATCGGCAAACTGGTGGTGGCCCTTGAAGGTAGTGGGCAGAAGAGTTGCCCCCATTTCTAGGAAGATGGTGGTGTTTTAAAGTTTCCAGGTATGACTCTTCTCTTCATAATCATGCTGGTTGCGATGTCAGGTTATATGAAAATACATTAAAGACAAGTAGTGATTTCTCATGCGCTGCTTGCAATAGTCATTCTTTTCAAAACAACGATAAAGGAAGTTTACTATAATGTTCCTGGGGGCTCCAGATGTTGTTTTCCTGTTAAGGCATAATAATCTCTCTCCAGCTCTAAGTGTTCACCTGGGATCACTGTGGCTAACTCCTGGAAGAGAGGTGGAGAATAGATCTATTACTGTACTTTGTATACTCTGAATGTGGAGATTGTTTTCTGTGCCTTTAGTCTTAGAAGGTAATAATGAGTGCTGCTTCCTGAGGCCCTCTGAATCTAGCTTGTAGCTCTCTACAGTGGATATAAAAAGTCTACACACCCCTGTTAAAATGTCAGGTTTCTGTGATGTAAAAAAATGAGACAAAGACAAATCATTTCAGAACTTTTTCTACCTTTAATGTGACCTATAAACTGTACAACTCAATTGAAAAACAAACTGAAATCTTCTGGGGGGGGGAGTAAACAAAAAAACTAAAATAATGTGGTTGCATAAGTGTGCACACCCTCTTATGACTGGGGATGTAGCTGTGTTCAGAACTAAACAATCACATTCAAAATCATGTTGAATAGGAATCAGTACACACCTGCCATCATTACAGTGCCTCTGATTAACCCCAAATAAAGTTTAGCTGTTATAGTTGGTCTTCCCTGACATTTTCTTAGTTGCATCCCACAGCAAAAGCCATGGTCCACAGAGAGCTTCCAAAGCATCAGAGGGATCTCATTGTTAAAAGGTATTTGTCACAAGTTAGCCTGCAGTTTCTTGTCTGTGCATTCTTACCTCCTTGCTGCAGTGCTGCTCCTGATTCCTTTCACATGTGTGGTTTGTATGTGCTCACCTATGGGCATCGTCTGCTATCCTCTGGGTTTTATTTCTTTCCCTTCCATCACTTCCTGGCCCGCCTCCTAGTTTGCTTGTCTATATAGACAAGCTCAGTCTAGCCCACTTTGCCTAAGCAACTTCTTAGTTCTCTGAGCTCCTGGCTGTTGCTACGCTTGTATGCTGTATCTGACTACCCATGCACCGACGCCGGCTTCGTCCACTGATTGTGCTGATCTCCACCCGTCCTGACCTCAGCTTGTCTACTGGCTCCCCTGTTGTCTCCAGGATTACACTCTGCTCACGCAATTGGTCTCCGCATCCTCAACTGGGTGCACCTGGTTGCCGCAACCTGGTTCCAGCTTGCTGCAAGTCCATCCCCACCATCAGGGATCTGGTGAAGAAGCAGGCTGGGGCTTAGACTCCGTGCCCTGGGGAACCCCGAGTTGGCGGTCTACAAGGACTCACTACCACAGATTTGTGACAGTATCAGTCAGGCGAAGGGTACAAAAGAATTTCCAAGGCATTAGATATACCATGGAACACAGTGAAGACAGTCATCTTCAAGTAGAGAAAATCTGGCGCAACAGTGCCTTTACCAAGAACTCAATATCCCTCCAAAATTTAAAAGACGAGAAGAAAACTGGTCTGGGAGGCTGCCAAGAGGTCTACAGAAACATTAAAGGAGCTGCAGGAATATTTGCCAAGTATTGGCTGGTTCGGTACATGTGACAACAATCTCCCGTATTCTTCATATGTCTGGGCTATGGGGTAGGGTGGCAAGACGGAAGCCTTTTCTTACGAAGAAATACATCCAAGCCTGGCAAAATTTTGCAAAAACACATCTTAAGTCCCCCAAAAGCATGTGGGAAAATGTGTTATGGTCTGATGAAACCAAGGTTGAACTTTTTGGCCATAATTCCAAAAGATATATTTGACGCAAAAACAACACTGCACATCACCAAAATGCCCACAGTGAAGCATTGTGGTGGCAACATCATGCTTTGGGGCTGTTTTTCTTCAGCTGGAACTTGGGTCAAGGTAGAGGGAATTCTGAACAGTTCCAAATACCAGTCAGAATTGACACAAAACCTTCAGGATTCTGCTGGGAAGCTGAACATGAAGAGGAACTTCATCTTTCAGCATGACAACGACCCAAAGCATACATCCAAATCCACAAAGCAATGGCTTTGCCAGAAGAAGATTAAAGTTTTGGAATGGACCAGCCAGAACCCAGACCTGAATACCATCGAAGGTGCTTCAGCAATGTATTAGTTTAAGGGTGTGCACACTTATGCAACCATATTATTTTAGGTTTTTTTTTTACTCCCCTCCACCTAAATTATTTCAATTTGTTGTACAGTTTATAGGTTACATTAAAAGGTGGAAAATTTCTGAAATTATTTATCTTTGTCTCATTTTTTTACATCACAGAAACAGGACATTTTAACAGGGGTGTGTAGACTTTTTTTATCCACTGTATGTCCATAGTCATGAGGTCTATGCTATCCAGTGTCCAAGTTCCCTGATCTCCTTTAAAATCTTTTCAGTGATTTGTTTGGATGTTGTTTGTGGCTCTTTTTGCAGTGTATCAGGTTTAGGCAGTAAATTTTGTTTATAGATCGGCTGTAGGTTCTTCTTCATGAGTGCTTTTACTGGGCTACCGCTTCACTCTCCTTTGCGGTCTCCATCTTGAATGGCGTATGTGTCAATGCTCCATCTATCAGCTTGGTTTTAGGCTTCTTTTTGTGGCCAGCAGTCTGCCATGACAATGCACTGGAGCGGAAAGGTAAAAAAGTGCTTTCCCAGGCCATGTGACTGAAGATGGCAGGCTGACTGAACTAATTAATCTGCCCAATTGCTTCTGAAGGCTACAAGGCTAGATACAAGGCTAGCTTAGAACAGATGTATCATTGACCACTGTGTGCATATGGCCCTCCCCCCCCCGCCCCTCTCTTTTTTTTAAGGTAAGTTTATTAATTTTCCAAATAAACAAACAAAAACAATCAGAAACAGAGTACCCAGTGATGGGTGCATAATACAGCTCACAAAAAAAACAGATAACAAGGTTCACAAATATTGTGTACATTCCCATCAGTGGTACAGTAAAGAAACAAACAACTTAGCTGGTGAATATATTACAGGACAAAGTCCACATCCAGATGGTAAATTAGGAGCTAAAAATGTTAGCGGAGGCCCAAATGGGGAGATACAATAATGGGCATAGAAGTCTAAACCTCAGTGTCCCCAGATACAGAGGAAGTCCAGGGAGACCAAATTTTAACAAATTTACGTGAGCAACCTCTAGCAATATAGATCAATATTTACATAGGTAAAGCCTCATTGACTAACCTAATCCACATTTGTAAGTCAGGAATTTCAGGTTTTTTCCAGTGTAGTGCAATATACTTTTTGGCATAAAAAAAAGGAAACTTATCACCACCTCTCTGTTTTTAATTGTATACTAGGAAAAGATCAAATGTAAAAAAAGCCAAGTGTATAACATGGAATTGCCATCTTGCAAAACTACCCAATATGAAAAATAAAATCTTGATGCAAAGCTTATTTAAAATGCATTTCTAGTGTACAAATATCTAATAAACAACTTAATAAACAACTTACTCCTAGAGATGATCGAACTTCATTGAGCTGAAAAAATACACGGCCACCTTCTTCAGGACTAACAGACTTTAGTTCATCACGGGACAGTTCCAGCAACTGACTACTACCATTCAGAACTCCTAAGCACTTAATAGTGCTGATAAATAGGATACACAAAGGAGGATGTAAAAGGATGGCCTTGTGATGACATTTTATGAAAAGTTGAACACTTATTTTTTACAAAATGTCTTATTTTAAACTTTAGAATGATTTAACTTCTGTTTTTTCCCCTTCATTTATTCAGAGGGATTGTTTTAGAACTGGAATATGGGAGCTACCATTGCTGACCCTACTTTTAAAATGTGCTTGTTCTACTGATTTTACATATATTCCCGCCTCACTACTAAAGCCTAGTACACAATGCTAGTTTTTTTACGTTCAACCCAGTGGGCTGAATAAAAAAACGCAATGTTAGTATAGCGATCTCCCCTGCTGTGCTATTGTATTGTGACAGTTGGAGCAGCCCCCCGCTAGAACAATCCGGTCAGTGCTCTCAGCCATTGGCTGAGAGCGTTGATTGGGAGCCAATCGGCAGATCTTTTTCGGTTATGCCTCTTCAACAGAAGCTGGACCGGCTGCCGTACATACGGGCCGAATGTCGGCCGGTTTCTATTGAATCGGCCAATGCTGCATGATATTCAGCCCATGTGTATTAGGCTTTAGTAAATTACTAACCCAGAAAAAGCTTGTGCACATTGCCCTCAATGCTCAGATGCAGACTCCAGCCTCTTTAACTTTTTTTCCAATAATTGGGTTCCTGGACACTCCCAGGGAAGATAAGCTCCCCAGTTTCCCTCCCTTAGCAGCTCAGAGAGACCACACCAGAGAAAAACTGGCATACAGGCAGCTGGACCAGAGCCTATTTGCATGTAGATTATGCAAAAGACCCAACTACTGTGAAGAGCTCCTCCCTGATCCTCCCAAAAGTATTCCTGTTCTAGTTGGGTGGAGCTTTTTCTATTGGCCGTGTATACCTTCAGCTGTTCACCTCTGTTACCAGTGTTACTCTGGACTTTGCTGTGGGAGATGCTATCTTTAAGGATAATCAATAGTAGCTGTGTTCTGTGCTGTTTAACTGAAGCAGTGATTCTCTGTCAGAGACTAAGCTATGCAACCATTTTGCTCTGAATGAGTCAAAGAGTCCATGTTTGTGCAGCTTTCATGTGTTCATGCAGCTTTCATTATTCTACAGTGTATGCATGTTTTTTGCCATCCTGAACCTGCTTTGCAGTATTGTTTCTAATTTTTTTTACCTGTTTGGTAAACTACAAGTTACAGGTACTCTCTGTCTTATCATTGGGCTGATTACCCATTTTATTAAATACAAGTTTGAAAGGAAAAAAAAAAAAAAAGAAAAACAACTTTAGTATGTCCCTTCAAAAATAAGTCAGCTAATATAGCTCCCATTACTTTGCCCTAGCATCTTTCTTTTTCTGCTATTAATGCATTGGGCCAAGTCTAGTAAGTAAATAGCAATACTTACATCCTTGAGAATCCCTTGTTTTTTAACCATGCTGTCACTTCTTCTGGGGCTGAACTTGGTTTTAATGATATGAATGACTGTTCTGGCAACTGTACCACAGAAAAACATAGATATTGTTTTCTGTGGAAAACTACACAATTCATTTGTTTAGACATTTAAAGCAATCCACATTTAGTCATCTATATACCTGTCCATTGTCTGTGCTCTCCAGTATGTTGCTTGGAATGAAACCCCTGTGCCCCTGAGAATTTTCAACCAGCCACCACTGCCTGCTCTGATCTAAAACCTGCAATACAATAAACAATAATATATGTTTATAATAATGAAGTGGGTTACATTCTTCTAAGGAAAGTAAACATCCATGCTATAAGACAGTGATATGTCCAGGCATATTTATTAAGGCATTGCAAAGTGAAGAAAACTATTCTGGTTTCATTTTATGCCTAGTTGCTTCTGTGACTCCATTCCAATTATTATTTGCTGCCTAACTAAATATTATTATTTTATTATTATTATTTCAGGTACTTATATAGCGCCATCAATTTACGCAGCGCTTTACATATATATATTGTGCATTCATATCAGTCCCTAACCCTCAAGGGGTGTACAATCTAAGGTCCCTAACTCACATTCTTACATACACATACTAGGGACAATTTAGACAGGAGCCAATTCACCTACCAGCATGTCTTTGGAGTGTGGGAGAAAACCGGAGTACCTGGAGGAAACCCACACAGGCACAAGGAGAACATGCAAACTCCAGGCAGGTGGTGTTGTGGTTGGGATTTGAACCGGCGACCCTAGTACTGCCAGGTAGAAGTGCTAACCACTTAGCCACTATGCCGCCCAAATATATTTATTTTACTATGTACACTGCTTAAAAAAATTAAAGGAACACTTTGAAAACACATCAGATCTCAATGGGGAAAAATATCATGCTGGATATCTACTGTATACTGATATGGACTGGGTAATGTGTTAGGAACATAAGGATGCCCCATCGTTTGATGGAAATGAAAATTATCAACCTACAGAGGACTGAATTCAAAGACATCCCAAATTCAAAGTGAAAAAATGATGTACCAGGCTAGTTCATTTTGCTGAAATTTCATTGCAGCAACTCAAGATGGGGCAGGCTCCTAATGAGTATGGTGTCCTGGGGTATTTCCTCCTAGATCTGGACCAGGGCATCACTGAGCTCCTGGACAATCTGAAGTGCAACCTCGCAGCGTCGAATGGACCAAAACATTATATCCCAGAGGTGTTCTACTGGATTTAGGTCAGGCGAGCATGGGGGCCATTCAATGGTACAAATTCCTTTATCCTCCAGGAACTGCCTGCATACTCTCGCCACATGAGACCGGGCATTGTCATGCACCAGGAGGAACTCAGACCCACTGCACCAGCGTAGGGTCTGACAATGGGTCCAAGGATTTCATCCCAATACCTATTGGCAGTCAGGGTGCCATTGTCTAGCCTGTAGAGGTGCATCCCTCCATTGATATGCCTCCCCAGATCAACACTGACCCACCACCAAAACTGTCATGCTGAACAATGTTACAGGCAGCATAATGTTCTCCACGGCTTCTCCAGACCCTTTCATGTCTGTCACATGTGCTCAGGGTGAACCTGCTCTCATCTGTGCAAAGTACAGGGTGCCAGTGACAGACCTGCCAATTCTAGTGTTCAATGGCAAATGCCAATCAAGCTCTATGGTGCCAGGCAGTGAGCACATACCACCCTCATGAAGTCTGTTTCTGATTGTTTGGTCAGAGACATTCACACCAGTGGTCTGCTGAAGGTCATTTTGTAGGGCTTTGGCAGTGCTCATCCTGTTCCTCCTTGTACAAAGGAGCAAATGCCGGTCCTGCTGATGGGTTAAGGACCTTCTATGGCTCTGTCTATCTCTCCTAGAGTAACTGCCTGTCTCCTGGAATGTCCTCCATGTGATTGGAGACACAACAAACCTTCTGGCAATTGTACGTATTAATGTGCCATCCTGGAGGAGTTGGACTGAGTGTGCAACCTCTGTGGGGTGCAGGTATCGCCTCATGCTACCAGTAGTGAAAATTACCCTAGCTAACTGCACAACTAATGAAAAACAGTCAGAAAAGAGAAGTAGGGAAAAAAATTCAGTTGCCTCCACCTGTAAAACCATTCCTGTTTTGGGGGTTGTCTCATTGTTGCCCATCGAGTGTACTTGTTGTTAATTTCATTAAAGCCAAAGCAGCTGAAACTGATTAACAACCCCCTCTGCAACTTAACTGACCAGATCAGTATCCCAGGAGTTTAATTGACTTGATGCTATACTCTAATTAAAATATGTTCCTTTAATTTTTTTGAGCAGTGTATATATTAATTTTTTTATCCAAGACATTAAAAAACTATTTGTTATGAAAAACTCAAACAGCCACTGCAGAGATTTGGGTTGTAGCAACAGGACACATAGTTAAGTGTACAATAAAATTGATAGTGATGACAATTGCACAAAATCGTGATTACACCATTTGCCATTTACCAATCTAAATAAGTCGGCAATATCAGGCACGATTAACCACTTCAATACTGGACCAATTCTAGAATAATACTTAGAACCCCCAAACATATTTTTTAGCAGAGACCCTGGTGGGTGTTGCAATTTTTTATGTCACGTTATTTGTGTTTTTCAAACACAATATTTTTTGAAAAAAATACACTGTAATTAATTTTATTGCATACAAACACTAAATAACATTCCAAAGACATGCTGAACGTGAGTTAGGGACCTTAAATTGTACGCCCCTTGAGGGTTAGGGACTGATGTGAATGTACAATATATGTACTGTATGTAAAGCGTTCTGTAAATTGACAGCCCCATATAAGTACCTGTAATAAATAAAAATTAATAAAATATAACAATTTTTTGCAAAAATGGAAAGGATGATGTTACGCAGAATAAATAGATACCTAACATATCACGCTTTAAAACTGCGTACGCCCATGGAATGATGCCAAACTACAGTACCTAAAAATCTTCATAGGCGAAGCTTTAAACACCTTTACAGGTTACCAGTTGAGGATTACACAGGAGAACGGGTGTTAGAATCAATGCTCTCACCATCACATTCGTGGTGATACCTTACATGTGTGTTGCGAACACCATTTACATTTACTTGCTTAACCTACACCTTTGTGCCCGACCACGAAGCTGTGAGGGCACTTAAAATTTTATAATATTTATTTTATTACTTCTTTTTATTTTTACACTTTCCCTTTACATTTTTAAAATGTCACAAGGGAATATAAACATTCCTTCTGATGGCAATAGGCAATAACAGGCACGCTTTACTGGGAGATCTGGGGTCTATTAGACCCAAAATCTCTTCTCTGGCCTACAATGCAGCCGACAGACTGGTGTGATTGGCTACTTTCCTGATGGTAATGGCCAGGTAAACAAACAGCTGAAAACAGAAGTGACAAAATCCTGGTTTCTGGTTTCAGGGGTCACAGAGAGGGAGGGATGACCTCAGTTTCTCTCTCTCTCTCTGTGTAATGCAGCCAATTCTGCTGGTTCGGCTGGACAAGAAGGCCCGGGAAAGGCAGCAGCAGTGAGAGGGAGGAACCCTTCTGCCACCCAATGTACAGCCACTCCAATCCCTGCTGCTGTACAGGGCATTTGTTGCTGTACAATTTGATACCGGGATTATGCCCTGATGTCCACTTGGGGATTCACGATGAATCCCTCAGACAAGGGGAGGAATATGGTGATTATGGATAATTCACAAAATTATTACAAACAAAGGTGCAATACAATCTTTCCAATAGGGAGTGGTAGTGCCCTATTTCAAAAACCTTCTTGACCCCTTCCAGTCTGGCTTTATTGAGGAACACTTCACAAAAAATGCCCTACACTCACTAATGATTTACTAACTGCCAAAACCAATGGCCACTACTCCATGCTGATACTACTAGACGTTCTGCTGCCTTTGATACTATTGACCACTGGCTCTTTCTCATAAATCTCCACTCCCTTAGGCTTCAAGACTCTGCTCCTTCCTGGTCCTCCTCCTTCTTGTTACAGCATTCCTTCAGTGTTGCCTGCAACTCTGTCTCCTCATCTCCACTTATTCTTTTGGTAGGGGTTCCCCAAGGTTCTGTCCTTGGACCCCTTCTCTTCTCCATCTACACCTCCTCCCTTGGTCACTGGATAAACACCCACAACATTCAATGCCATCTCTATACCACTCCCTCAAACTCACTCTTTTTGAAACTGAATTCATAATATTCTCCCAGGGAAGACTTACCTGCTAACGATTGAATCTTTTATTTCTTCCATTAGCTCATCCCTCACAGTTATTACCTTTTAACTTGACCCACAGGATACAGATCTGAACCTGAAACCTCTGTGGTGTCTGGTTGTGTCTCTTATCGCTGTGCCACCTGAGTAGTTGGCCAACTCCCTGCCTGATTCCTTGGAAAACCTTGCTCTGTCTTGTTTCTGATGAACCTCAAACCCTTAGTGCCTCCCATGAACTTCCTGATTTAAGCCATGTCTCTGCATTTACTGTTTGCCAAATTACTGTGCTCCTCTCCAGCTAATATCTTGATTTTTTCCTTCCTGCTGCCATTAATATCTTTACTACCACTCAAAATCAACCTCTGGCTCATTCTTCGACTACTCTTCCGCTTGATCCCAACATGCAACCACTTTTTACCAATTTTTGGCTTGTTTCTCAGCTATGCTTTCTCTTGATCCCAACCTGTAACTGCTCGTTACGAACCTTTGGTTTGTTTACTGACTGATTCTGCTAGCTCCCTACCTGTTACATCTGCCACCAGACCCTGGGTTGGGCAGTCCCGAGAACCACAACCTGGCACTACCAGGCAGCAAAACCTATCTCCACCAAGAGGAGCACTGGAGAAGACCAGTTTGTGCTTAGAATAAACACTCACAAGGGTGACCTGCTTGTGTACTCATCCTGCTGTTTGGCATGGACCTCTCTATTGCTACAGCTACTGATCTGAGCCTGACCTGTCACAACTAGATTATAAGCTCTCAGGAGCTTGGCCCTGCTAATCCTCTTGCATTGATTTGTATTGTTACTCTACAGTACTAAACTGTTGGCGCTTTAGAAATCCTGTGTTATAATCATTTCAATTTCAGCTCAGCATAGATTTGTACAAATAGATCAGATGGCTTATACAGCAGTAGTAATTGATAAAGATACTATGGAATATTTATTTGTGAGGCATCCTTAGGTGCCTACTTTTTATGCACACCCCAAAACGCATAAGGATATGAAATCC